AGTGCGAGGTCTGGTGAGGTCAGATTAGGTCATTGTTTGGTATAGATTTTATCGATAGTGTAGGGACAGACTGCAGTTCCACATTTGAGAGATTTGTTTTTGGTTAGAGGTAAATCCGTATACTTAAGGTCGTTTCAGTATGAGCACCAGATACATGACCTAAGTATATCTGACCACTAGACACAACACCTATGTATATCTGACCACTAGAATAATGACCTATGTATATCCGACCAATGAAGTGACCACTGGGCACATGACCTATGTATATCTGACCACTAGACACATGACCTATGTATATCTGACCACTGAATACATGACCTAGGTATATCTGACCACTGGACAAATGACCTATGTATATTCTACCTCTGAACTGACCACTGGACACTTGACCTATGTATATCTGCCCACTGAACTGACCACTAGACACACGACCTATGTATATCTAGCCACTGAATACATGACCTATGTATATCTGACCACTGAATACATGACCTATGTATGTTTGACCACTGAACTGACCACTGAACTGACCACTAGACACATGACCTATGTATATCTGACCACTGAACTGACCACTAGACACATGACCTATGTCTAACCACTAGACACGCGGCTACCGTGAGGTCATGTTTAAATAGCTCGTGCTTCATCTGAAGTGGATTAATTACAACGACGTGGGTATATTAGAGTTAAGTATCGTGTTTTTCTATACATTATGCACAAGCACTTGAGCAAATTTACATAAACAATTCTGCGCCAGCGGGTTGAATGGTTGGCCAATCTTTGATGTGGGGACAAACGTCGCATGCTAAGAATGGCTATGCAAATTGGTGGGGGGGGGGGGGGGGAAGAAGGGAACGATTGGGGGGGGGGGGGGGCACAGACGCCGCTCTAAGTAGGGCGCTCATACATTGGATTTTACGGTCCCCCGGGCGTCCCCTAAATAGAGAGATGGTGCGCAATTCGTCGAGCGAATTAAGGCAAAAAGATGAATGCGGTAGGGAAAGATAATGAAAGGGCAGGAACTCGTGGACCGTTCAGAGTTACCTGTTCTTTATTTGTTCTGCTCATTTGTAAACACTAGCGCGTTTTGATGAATGTTTGTTAAAATCGGGTTTTCCCGTTTGAAAAAAAAAACCGTCGTCCTAAAATAACTGCAATAAAAACACTCAAGGGCTGAATGAGGGTAGATAATTGCGGTCTTGGAGCTGCTACTGAGGTAGGATTATCGCACCTTGTGTTATTTTATCATTTTTTGAACCGTGAAAATCTAGACCGGTTGTTTGTTTTGTTAAACTGGTTGGAATATTAGAACCTATTTAAGCTCTAGGTCTTTGATCAATTAGCCCTTACATCAGCCTGGGGAAGATATTCAATTCACGTGCCAGACAGCTAGACCAGACAGCTAAACCAGACAGCTAAACCAGTCAGCTGAACCAGACAGCTGAACCAGACAGCTAAACCAGGCAGCTAAACCAGGCAGCTAAACCAGGCAGCTAAACCAGACAGACCAGACAGCTAAACCAGACAGCTCAACCAGACAGCTAAACCAGACAGCTAAACCAGAACCAGACAGCTAAACCAGACAGCTACACCAGACAGCTAAACCAGACAGCTAAACCAGACAGCTAAACCAGACAGCTAAACCAGACAGCTAAACCAGACAGACAGCTAAACCAGAACCAGACAGCTAAACCAGACAGCTAAACCAGACAGCTAAACCAGACAGCTAAACCAGACAGCTAAACCAGACAGCTAGACCAGACAGCTAAACCAGACAGCTAAACCAGAACCAGGCAGCTAAACCAGACAGCTAAACCAGACAGCTAAACCAGACAGCTAAACCAGACAGCTTAACCAGTTAAACCAGACAGCTAAACCAGACAGCTTAACCAGTTAAACCAGACAGCTAAACCAGAACCAGACAGCTAAACCAGACAGCTAAACCAGACAGCTAAACCAGACAGCTAAACCAGACAGCTAAACCAGCTAAACCAGACAGCTAAACCAGACAGCTAAACCAGACAGCTAAACCAGACAGCTAAACCAGACAGCTAAACCAGACAGCTAGACCAGACAGCTAAACCAGACAGCTAAACCAGAACCAGGCAGCTAAACCAGACAGCTAAACCAGACAGCTAAACCAGACAGCTTAACCAGTTAAACCAGACAGCTAAACCAGACAGCTAAACCAGACAGCTTATATCTACATGACAAGTGTAAAAATATTTATCCCACTCCAGTGACATGTTTTAAAAGGTCACAACAGCCCTATATGACAACAGTTTAATTGTGACAGCTCGCACAAATCAATAACCGAAGATTTGATAGCCTAGAGAGCCTAGAGTACAAGGCATGCTAAGTTTATTCGGGTAAAAACTGTCTTGTTATATTAAACTGTGAGCTTATCCCCCCACCGACCCGAGCTACCCCCCCCCCCCCCCACACACACACTTCAACAACATGCTGTTGTAGCCACGAGGGTGGCTCATTCTTGTGTTTATTAAGTGGCGGTTGGTCGCTAATTTAAGACTAGCAGCCATGTTGTTTATTTAGGGAGGGTGGGGATGTAGGGGGAGGACACCAGCTGCGTGGGCCCATTGTGACGTCTTATGTCAACAACACTACGGCCTTTTGTTACGTCATTCATTCATTTTTTTCACAGCTTTGTGATTGGCTGGATTTTTTATGATACTCTGCTCTGAGAAATCTGTTCAGTTCTTCTGGGGAATGCGACAAACTCTTTTCTTCTTTCGAGATACATCATTTCTTTTTTTCGTTATACATTATTCCTTTATTCGTAAGATACATCTTTTTTTCTTCTGAATGGTACATCATTTCTCTCGTGATACATCATTTCTTCATTCTTATGATACATCATTTCTTTCGTATGAATGGTACATCTTTTCTTCTATCATAAGCCTTAAAACCATACTTCTACAGCGAATGAATTTTTGAGCTTCCCCAGGTCTTTATACTTTATACTATGTAATATCGAATGTTTTTATAAGTCCATTAAAATTCTATCATAGCATTATTCTAAAGTATATCATATCTTTATTCTTTTTCATATCAATACTTTGGTTTTTAAACACTAAGTGTTTTGTTGTCTGATCTACCCAGGCTTTAATCAACGAGCATGACTGATGACGCAAGCAAATTATTTTGATGACGTGTATGTTAAATAATCCATTGCTTTATTAATTACACGCTAATTAACAGTTTCAGACTTTAAAAAATACACAAAAAAACCAAACCGTTATGTAAGAAGATCTCCTTTGCATCCCCTCCACCTTGTTTCGCTAACTGGCTCTCCATAACGTCTGTAGTCCCCCCCCCCCCCCCCCAATGAGTCGTGTAAATAACCACCCCCCCCTTGTAAATAAGTGATTGAAACCAGCTTGATATTTGGTAGACATCAATTATACACGTCCCTCCCTCCACTGGGGATATCCGTACATCATCAGCTCCATTTTTGTCCAGGTAGTTGAGGGGGTCTTCTAAAAGTGGGTCTTGTGGTGAATAGAGTGGGTCTTTTAGTGGAGGAAGTGGGTCTTTTAGTAGAGGGAGTGGGTCTTTTAGTTAAGGAAGTGGGTCTTTTAGTAGTCGGAGTGGGTCTTTTAGTTAAGGAAGTGGGTCTTTTAGTAGTGGGAGTGGGTCTTTTAGAAGAGGAAGTGGGTCTTTTAGTAGTGGGAGTGGGTCTTTTAGTAGTGGGAGTGGGTCTTTTAGTGAATGAAGTGGGTCTTTTAGTAGAGGGAGTGGGTCTTTTAGTAGAGGGAGTGGGTCTTTTAGTAGAGGGAGTGGGTCTTTTAGTAGAGGGAGTGGGTCTTTTAGTAGAGGGAGTGGGTCTTTTAATAGAGGAAGTGGGTCTTTTAGTAGTGGAAGTGGGTCATTTAGTAGTGGGAGTGGGTCTTTTAGTGAAGTGGGTCTTTTAGTGGAGGGAGTGGGTAAAAAATCTGTCTTATCATGTCCAGGGTCTGTGTGATCGTGTTTCTACGTGTGTGTTTTTACAGGTGTATGTGTGTATTGACATGTATCTACCCTGTAGACATGTGTATGTACATGTGTATATGTGTGTCTGTATATGTGATGTGTGCCTACATCTGCATGTGTGGTGAGTGTCTACATGTGCATGTGTCTACATCAGTATGTGTGGTATATATCTACATCTGTATGTGGTGTGTGTGTCTACATCTGTATGTCTGGTGTGTGTCTATATATGTATGTGGTGTGTATGTCTGTATGTCTGGTGTGTGTCTACATAATTTTAAAAAAGTGAAATGAAAACCCATTCAATCAAATAGCTGTTGTGGTTTTAGAACGTAAAAACTACAAATATATTTATTTTAAATCTGATGGGAGAAAGATTGATGTTTCGACATCATGGCTCCGGGTGATTAAAAAAATGTAAACATTGAACTTAACTTTAGCAGAAATGAAACTTTCTTTGCCAACAATCTTCCCGCCTCTTGTAAGTGTGATGTAAGCGTGATGTAAGTGTAGTGTAAGTGGGGAGATGTCGTTTGCTAGTTCGTCTGTTGCTCGTCTTTGTGTTGTGACATCGATTTTCTGTTTCAAATTACAAGCAATACAAGATTTAATTCCCTGCATCAAAGACTTCCAGTATTACCTCCCCTCTGTCTCCCCCTGATCATAGATGTATGCAAACATGAAGACGTCACATGCTAACAACTCACAAAAAATTTATTTTAAAAATGCTAACAGCATGAAATGGGAAAATAATTTCTTACAATTTTAAAAATTTGTTTTGAATATCTTGTGTCGTTTCTAGCAGTAGTCAAACCCTAATCTACGTTTTATCCCTACTCTTTACTCAGTCCCCACCCTAGCCCAAACCCCCGTCCTAGTTCTAACACCTTGATATTATATCAACCCACCACCCCCGTTTGTTGTAAGAGTCCATTATCGTAGACCGTTAAGAAAAACAAGTCAAGTTTGTGTAAATCGATGACACGCCTCAATTTTTTTTCTTACAGGCCAGTGAGGGGATGGACAGATCCCACCCCCCGCGGTCTGGCATCCCCACTTACCTGGGATCTCCAGGTGGGCGGGCACACGACAGGGGGGATGGAGGGGGTCACCACGGGGACTCGCGGTCACCCCGACCCCAGCGCAGCAACCCCCATGTGAATAATGGACCAGCCCAAGACATCCGGTCAGCTAGAGTGACCAGGGTCCCAGACCGAGGTGGAGGAACCGACCCGCCCCGCCCGGGCTGGTCAGACGATGGCCAGACGCCGGCCAGACACCGCCCACACAGCTCAAACAAACACGTGACCTACGCGCACGTCAAGCGGAACGAGCTTATACAACACCAGGTCAGTGACCTTAAGATCTGTATACTTAGGTCAGTTTCATTAGGGCAAAAGGTCAGTGACCTTAAGATCTGTATACTTAGGTCAGTTTCATTAGGGCAAAAGGTCAGTGACCTTAAGATCTGTATACTTAGGTCAGTTTCATTAGGGCAAAAGGTCAGGTACCTTAAGATCTGTATACTTAGGTCAGTTTCATTAGGGCAAAAGGTCAGGTACCTTAAGATCTGTATACTTAGGTCAGTTTCATTAGGGCAAAAGGTCAGTGACCTTAAGATCTGTATACTTAGGTCAGTTTCATTAGGACAAAAGGTCAGTGACCTTAAGATCTGTATACTTAGGTCAGTTTCATTAGGGCAAAAGGTCAGGTACCTTAAGATCTGTATACTTAGGTCAGTTTCATTAGGGCAAAAGGTCAGGTACCTTAAGATCTGTATACTTAGGTCAGTTTCATTAGGGCAAAAGGTCAGTGACCTTAAGATCTGTATACTTAGGTCAGTTTCATTAGGACAAAACTCTCCAGGCCCATAAACACCTTTCGTCCTAATTTGGACTCGAACCCACGACTGTCGCGTGTTCTGGAATGTCACACCTTGGTTTTAAATGTCTGTGTCGGTCGAGGCATGTTTTTTTTTAACTTCCGACTGTCTTCGGCTATAAATGTGTCATTTATTTCATGTATAAATGTGTCATTTATTTCAGGTATAAATTTGTCATTTATTTCTACCTGTATCTCCCGTGGTGACAGTCATTGAGCTATAAACATGTATTGCGCAGACAGGTTCCCTCAGTCACTGTGTATAGAACAGACAGGTGCGCCCACCCCCTCAGTCACCGTGTAGACATGTGCCCCCCCCCCCCCCCACCTCAGTCACCCTGTGTTCGCCCTTGACTTTAATACCTTCTGTAGCCGGCACTGTTCACCTTCTGTAGCCGGCACTGTTCACCTTCTGTTGCCGGCACTGTTCACCTTCTGTTGCCGGCACTGTTCACCTTCTGAAGCCGGCACTGTTCACCTTCTGAAGCCGGCACTGTTCACTTCCTGTAGCCGGTCGTGTACACCTTCTGTAGCCGGCACTGTACACCTTCTGTAGCCGGCACTGTTCACCTTCTGTAGCCGGCACTGTTCACCTTCTGTAGCCGGCACTGTTCACCTTCTGTAGCCGGCACTGTTCACCTTCTGTTGCCGGCACTGTTCACCTTCTGAAGCCGGCACTGTTCACTTCCTGTAGCCGGTCGTGTACACCTTCTGTAGCCGGCACTGTTCACCTTCTGTAGCCGGCACTGTTCACCTTCTGTAGCCGGCACTGTTCACCTTCTGTAGCCGGCACTGTTCACCTTCTGTAGCCGGCACTGTTCACCTTCTGTAGCCGGCACTGTTCACCTTCTGTAGCCGGCACTGTTCACCTTCTGTAGCCGGCACTGTTCACCTTCTGTAGCCGGCACTGTTCACCTTCTGTAGCCGGCACTTTTCACCTTCTGTAGCCGGCACTGTTCACCTTCTGTAGCCGGCACTTTTCACCTTCTGTAGCCGGCACTTTTCACCTTCTGGAGCCGGCACTGTTCACTTCCTGTAGCCGGTCGTGTACACCTTCTGTAGCCGGCACTGTTCACCTTCTGTAGCCGGCACTTTTCACCTTCTGTAGCCGGCACTTTTCACCTTCTGGAGCCGGCAGTTCACCTTCTGAAGCCGGCACTGTTCACCTTCTGAAGCCGGCACTGTTCACTTCCTGTAGCCGGTCGTGTACACCTTCTGTAGCCGGCACTGTTCACCTTCTGTAGCCGGCACTTTTCACTTCCTGTAGCCGGCACCGTTCACCTTCTGTAGCCGGCACTTTTCACTTCCTGTAGCCGGCACTTTTCACTTCCTGTAGCCGGCACTTTTCACTTCCTGTAGCCGGCACCGTTCAGCAGACTCTAGACTTCCTGTCCATTCAACTTTTGTTTTCCTCTTCTAACGGTCTCGTAAAAGTTGTTTCAATTTCAAGTGTGCCGCTGTCAGCTCTAGATGGCTCGACAAGAAATTCACCTTTCTTGTTGTGTTCAAAACATCACTCGTTCTCTTCTTTTTCTTCAAATCGTTTAAGCATTTGCCATTTGTTGTTGTATTTTTAATGTTTAATCGGCGTTGATGTGGTCTGTAGGTCTTTAGGGTTCTCTAGAACTTTAGGGTTCTCTAGAACTTTAGGGTTCTCTAGAACTTTAGGGTTCTCTAGAACTTTAGGCTTCTCTAGAACTTTAAGGTTCTCCATACCTTGTATGTTCATTGATAAGTCAATTAAAAGATGATATTAAATGTTAAATATTTTAGTAACACCTTGATCCGATGCTGGTAATCAACTGGTCAATATTTCCTTCTCTCAGGCTCAAGGCGAGAGAACTCTCGTGGGCTGCGAGTCCACACAGCCCGCGGAGAGGACCAACAAAAGTGACGTCACATCCGGCCATGGCGTAGAGCTCTACTACTCTGCCTCCACCGTGACTGGTTCCCACACAGCGGACGAGGAACCCATGGACGACACCAGACCCTGCGAGACGGGAGGGGTCAGCGAGTCCCCGAGTGCCGGACCCCCCGGCCCCCACCGCGCCCCACCCCCTGGTGCTGCCAGGTCACGTGAGGGCGATCACGTGACGCGGACAAGTTTTTCTGACATGGATTACCCCATCAGAGGAACGATGTCCCCGCTGTCCGCCGTGGCGGTGAAGAGGTCGGTGGGTCCGGTGGATGAAGTGTCCTTCGTCTTCGGCCGTCCGGCCTCCCCCACCGGCGACACGGTGGTCCGGCCCGCCCAGCAGTACAACAGTGCCGGTCTCGTCCGGTGCATGTCGCCGTCTGCCGGCCGCTACATGACCGGACACTACAACCCCCGCCCCCTCTCTCCCAGCAGTGACGTGTTGCCTATACGGCGACCCGGGACCTACGCGTCCCGCAGGGTGCTGTCCCCACCCCCACAGCTGGGGTTCGGAGCCGCCGCGGAGCCGCGGATCCACCACCAGGGCGGCATCTGCTGCGAGCAGTGTAACGGCTGTCTGGTGGAGCTCAAGCGGCAGGCCCTGCGGCTCATGTTCCCGGATACGGGAGCCGGAAGTCACCTCGCTCAGGTAAGCCTAGGCTCAGAACTTTCAAACATGTGGTCCCTAACTCCAGGGGTCATTAGGACCCCCAATTCAAACCTGTGATCCCTAACTCCAGGGGTCATTAGGGACCCTAACTAACCTTTGATCCCTAACTCCAGGGGTCATTAGGGACCCCAACTAACATGTGATCCTTAACTCCAGGGGTCATTGGGACCCCAACTCCAAACAATGTTTATAAACCCCAGCTCTCACCTGAAATTCGTTACAACACACCTCACTAACAATCCTTGATACACCTTCCAGTAACGGCCTGCTTACACCAAATTATAACACCAGCTTCAACTAGCGCCCCCCCCCCCAACATCAGCTTCCAATAGCGCTCCCCCCCCAACACCAGCTTCCAATAGCGCCCCTCCCCCCCCCCCCAACACCAGCTTCCAATAGCGCCCTCCCCCCCAACACCAGCTTCAAATAGCGCCCCACCAAACACAATCTTCCAATAGCCCCCCCCCCAACACCAGCTTCCAATAGCGCCCCCCCAACACCAGCCTCCAATAACGCCCCCCCCCCAACACCATCTTCCAATAGCGCCCCTCCCCCCCCCTTCTCCCAACACCAGCTTCCAATAGCGCCCCTACCCCCCTCAACACCATCTTCCAATAGCGCCCCCCTCAACACCATCTTCCAATAACGCCCCCCCCCCCCAACACTTGCTTCCAATAGCGCCCCACCCCCCCAACCCCATCTTCCAATAGCGCCCCCCCCCACACTTGCTTCCAATAGCGCCCCCCCCCCCCAACACCAGCTTCCAATAGCGAACCTTAAGCTTTCAACAAGAATGTTACACTATGGCTCCCTACCGTTAACGATTTAATTAATTAGATCAATGAGGTCTTTTTAAAATGCAGTTTTCAACGCTAATCATATATATATTTTTTATGCTGTAAAAAACTTTTGTCTCTATAGAAAGGGAAAAAAAAACACATTACAAAACGATAAAAAATGAAACGTTAAAAATAACCCGTTATAAAACGTTAAGAAAGTAAAAAAAAAAAAAAAAAGAAAAGAAAACATGCACTAGGTGTCCTAGTGTTAACAAAAAAAAATGGCGCTGAATGGAATTGATCAGCTACAAAATGTCGGTATCGATTTCTGAACAATATCGATAAGTCGCTTCCATTTTCTTCATAATCTCCAGGACAACAATGGCTCGCGGCGTTCTAGAACGCGTGCTCGTGTATTATATTGTCTCCCCTTACCTACTCCCTCCACAAGTTATTCCCCGTTGTTGTCTGCCACCGCTATAGTTCCCTGTAGATCTGAATACAAACGGTCCCATGTTAGCTCCCCTTCTCTTTGTGGGGCAAGTGATCTCCCCTTCTCTCTGTGGGGCAAGTGATCTCCCCTTCTCTCTGTGGGGCAAGTGATCTCCCCTTCCCTCTGTGGGGCAAGTGATCTCCCCTTCTCTCTGTGGGGCAAGTGATCTCCCCTTCTCTCTGTGGGGCAAGTGATCTCCCCTTCTCTCTGTGGGGCAAGTGATCTCCCCTTCCCTCTGTGGGGCAAGTGATCTCCCCTTCTCTCTGTGGGGCAAGTGATCTCCCCTTCTCTCTGTGGGGCAAGTGATCTCCCCTTCCCTCTGTGGGGCAAGTGATCTCCCCTTCCCTCTGTGGGGCAAGTGATCTCCCCTTCCCTCTGTGGGGCAAGTGATCTCCCCTTCTCTCAGTGGGGCAAGTGATCTCCCCTTCTCTCTGTGGGGCAAGTGATCTCCCCTTCTCTCTGTGGGGCAAGTGATCTCCCCTTCTCTCAGTGGGGCAAGTGATCTCCCCTTCTCTCTGTGAGGCAAGTGATCTCCCCTTCTCTCAGTGGGGCAAGTGATCTCCCCTTCTCTCAGTGGGGCAAGTGATCTCCCCTTCTCTCTGTGAGGCAAGTGATCTCCCCTTCTCTCTGTGAGGCAAGTGATCTCCCCTTCTCTCTGTGGGGCAAGTGATCTCCCCTTATTAAAGTTGCCACTGAGCTCTCCTTTCTTCACCCCCGCCGTTGCTGTCTGAGGGACGGGCTCTCCCCACGACAGGAGTCGAACCCATTTTCTCTGACAGGCACCTTAAGAATGAAGCCAATTTCACCGTAAGCCGACCGTCCCGCCCCAGGCCCCCCGCACCCCCGCGCCCCGGCACAAGCCCGGATTGCCGCCCCACTGTGAGACGAGTGTCGGGTGACGACACCCGTCTCATGTGTCGTCATTAGAAAGTGACACTCGTCCTCTCCCCTCCCCCCTCCCTGTCTTGAGATCACCAAGAGACGAGGCTTGGATTTGCCTCCAGTTTCTGACACGCTTGACTGACTCCTGGCTCGAGTCGGGTCATCGCTTCAGGTCACTCACTCAACCGTGACCAGTTCTTTTTTTCTCTACGTGACGTCATATGACCCCACGAACTACAGTGAAATCTAAATGTGCATTAGAAACATTTTTCGATGCTGATCCTGATCATTCACACATCTGATAGTCTTTCTCCCTATTGTGACGACAATCTCTGGCTAGAATGTGGATGTTGTTACAGATAGTCCTATTGTTTTGTGTCAGATTCCTTCCTTTGTTAGACGTTGTCTTGATACACGAAAAATATAACGACAGTTTATTATATAAGCTAGTTATTTCCCTGGGATTCCCAACAAAAATTCAAAGCTGAGATACTGTTGTGTAGTTAACCAAACTTGTACCGTCTAAACTCCTTAAATCCCCCCCCCCTTTTTTTTTGTTTAATTTAGAACTAATATTTCATCTTCCACACTTACTGTAAATAATTATCCACCACTCTCCCCCCTGTAAGAGCTAAAAGAAAGGCACAAGGAAAATTTATATGGAACCCAAATCACATATAATTAAATATATAGCTCAACACTTGTGGCCTAGATTGTGTTAGCACGAGTTACAGCCCCTGTCCTAGTGTTGGCGAGTTACAGCCCCTGTCCTACTGTTAGCGAGTTACAGCCCCTGTGCCGGCCTGTCAGCTTATCTCCCCTGCCCTTGGTACCGTGACAAAAGAGCCATTGACCGGCAAGTTTAGTGTCAACCTGTCCTTGATGTTAGCCCAGCAGAGGGCAGCTTGATTTACCAGTGGGCTCCACACATTTGGTCACTCGGTGACCCACGCCACGCCGTACATTTGGTCACTCGGCTGACCCACTCCACGCCGTACATTTGGTCACTCGCTGACCCACTCCACGCCGTACATTTGGTCACTCGGCTGACCCACTCCACGCCGTACATTTGGTCACTCGCTGACCCACGCCACGCCGTACATTTGGTCACTCGGCTGACCCACTCCACGCCGTACATTTGGTCACTCGGCCACCACTCCACGCATCAGCATGTGTATGTGTACACATATGTGAGTGTGTGATGTGTGTCAGTGTAACAGCACGCACACCACTGGATGAATTGAACTGACCTTTTACTAAATGACCTCTACACTGACCTAATGAGGAAGGCCATACCTGAGGTCCTCTTGATGACGTCTTGACCAGACAGGTACCGTGACGTCACGAATGAAACCCCTCAGGTTTGTGCTAAACGTGCCGGTAACACGGCTGTCTATGGTGATGGGGATTCTGGGAGTCTGTGGTAGACGTGTGGACACTATTGGTCATCTACGTGGTCCACTTATTTCTGGCGGGGCGCTGTAAGGATTCGTGACGTACAGCCGCAATAGTTCACCTCAAATGTTGCGCTATGTCAAGTTTGCCTTAAACATTTAGATTTATCAAATTTGCTCAAATATTTTGCTTTGCTAAGTTTGCGCAAATATTTCGTTTTATCAAGCCTCAAATGTTGTATTTTATTAAGTCTGCCTCATAAGTTGTATTCTGTCAAGTCTGCCCCAAATGTTGTATTTTTTCAAGTCTGCCTCAAATGTTGTATTCTGTCAAGTCTGCCCTAAATGTTGTATTTTGTCAAGTCTGCCCCAAATGTTGTATTCTGTCAAGTCTGCCCCAAATATTGTATTTTGTCAAGTCTGCCCCAAATGTTGTATTCTGTCAAGTCTGCCCCAAATGTTGTATTTTGTCAAGTCTGCCCCAAATCAGTGGCGTAGCGAGATCGGGTGTCATCCGGTGCGGCACTTAATGGTGTCACCCCCCAGAGGCGTAGCGACCCTTCCCGGGGACAAATTTTCGATTTGCAGCCCCCCCCCCCCCTCAAACTTTCGATTTGCACCCCCCCTCAAGTTTTTCTCTATATATTTTGCTACTTTTTGCCTTGGTGTCACCCCCCTAAATGGTGTCACCCGGTGCGGTCCGCACCCCCGCCCCCCCCCCCCTCGCTACGCCCCTGCCCCAAATGTTGTATTCTGTCAAGTCAGCCACAAATGTTGTATTCTGTCAAGTCTGCCACAAATGTTGTATTCTGCCAAGTCTGCCCTAAATGTTGTATTCTGCCAAGTCTGCCCTAAATGTTGTATTCTGCCAAGTCTGCCCTAAATGTTGTATTCTGCCAAGTCTGCAAACTTGAGCCACCGACGAGAAACTTGTTGATATCTCGTCTGATTAAAGTCCAGAAATAGCCGGCTGTCACGTGGGATGGGTATGACCGGCCGTCACGTGGGAGGGGTATGGCCGCTTAGCACGCGACTTTGTGTTGCCCACCAGTGCACTCATCTTTCAGTTTTTAAATTTCAGAATTTTAATTTACAAGTAAACAAACATAAACAGGATGGGGGTGGGGTAATGACAGATGGGGGTGGACCGATAATTTAGCAGAGCTGTTGGGGGGGGGGGAGATTAAAGCTGCTGAGTTGGATGGAAACTTCAAAGCTGCCCCTTCCTTCATCAACCCGAGTCAAAAATAAGCTTCTGATTTTTTTTTTTTAATGTAAGACAGTGAAAAGTCACACGAACTGCTTAGTTTAAAAAAAATGTTTTTAACAGTCGAGAAAAAAATTAAACTGTTGGGCTTCCATCAATAAATGTCATTTATCATATAATCCACACTCAGCTAAAGTGACAAGTTCGTAAGCTGAATCATCCGA